ATGTGTTTCTGTCAGCAGAACACAGATGATAATGTTAACTGTGTGATATACGAAGGAAATAGCATGTTTTCTGACTTTAAGTCGGACGACGATATAAATGGGGTCGCTTAATAGTGTTACTGCACTGGATTTCAAAGTTTTGACCATGAAGTTGATGTGAAGGATATTATTTTCTTTTTGTTCTCAGATAAATTTAATCAAACACCGTCCGGATGTTTCACTTAACACGCTGAAGGTCCATTGTCCTCCTTCCAGAGGACGATGCGGTGAAACCAATTTTTATCGTGATTTGTTTCGGGTTTAATGCAGCCGGTAGTCCACACTGCTTCTTTCCGGTTCCGTAGTCTGAAAATTCATATCTTTAACAGAGCTCTTTTAAAAGTCATAAAGAACTATGTGAAACCCGTTTATCGTGTTTTTTGTTAACTGGTCTGCGCTAGGCGACGTTAGTATCTCATTGATACATAAGTTCTTCCTTGGAACGGTTAGCGCAAAGACTGCGGAAAGATTGTACAGTTGAATCCCTACTTATGCCGGTGGTCTTCTGTAGAGACAGTGACCGGGACTTCACACGTGATATCAAAATATTCCAGCCCAATGATCAGGCAGCTCAGTCGAGAGGTCTTAGATTCCAGCGCTGGCCGGGTCACTCGCTTTTGAACATCTGAATAGCAGTAGGAACAAATAATCGGTCGCCTGCGAATATTAGTAATCGCAGGGCTATAGATATTACCTTCGAAAATTAAGCGAACTTTTGCCAGATATCGTAGAAAAGGAGTTCTATCTTGCATCTAAGCTACATGCATGAATGGGCCTTGAACGGACCCTGTCATGTAAGTGTAAGGGGCATCGATATCTTAATTTTAAGATTTCCTTCATTTTCAGTTCGAAACATAAACACGACATCCTATGTTTAAAAATAATAAAGGCGACAATAATTTGATAATTTTTTTATATTTATTAAGAATGACTATAGTCCAAAATCCTTCTTTGAATGACGGTCTAAAATCCTTTTCCTAAGCTCAGTCGCTTCATCAGTTTATGCATAAATCTGAAACTTTGGTCGGTATTACTTTATTAGTAATTACCTTTTTACGACCTGTCGCTCATTCACTAACTTATTCGACACTGAACTACTAGCCAATTGCCAAATTAAAATTGGTGTGAATTCCTATTTCTCGTTCATCCATTTGTTCGATGCTGTTCTTCAGTTCCTCTGTCTCTTAGTAACAGGAGGGACAAAAGGTTCGGTTCTAACGAAACATGCGATGTTCGTTCGCTTCACCCAACTTGCTATTGCACAGAGGGTTGCTAACATTTCTATCGTTGAAGGTGCATTCGGAGCTACCCCAATTGTGCTTTTGACCCTACTTGTGTGGATGCAGTCGAATGAACATGTTCCCCCATTTTAAATTTGACGGCTAAATAATAAACAACGAGTTTCATTTTGAGTCTTCCGATAACGTAGTATCCAGGGGTCTCGTTTCTGTCGTACTTGAATACCAGACCATCACGAATACCATTGCAGCGGAGACAAATAAATTACACTGGATTTAGCCCTGTTGTGCGATTTGTAGATGTATCTGTACCCTTTCTTTCG